ACAAACAGCAGTCTGAAAGGTTAAGATTTGCTAGAGGCAGAGATAAATCAAAGGTAAACTGCTAGATTTCACATCTTAACTCTCAAGTCCTGGTTTTGTTAAGAAAAAAAAGAGTCCCCTAGACACAACTGAAGAAAGAAAATCACCCTATTCAAATACAATTTAATTTCACAAAGAAAAAGAAAGAAAACCAGCACAGTTTTGTTTGTTTCACAGAGGCCTAAGCATGCATTTGACTAGCAAACTCATCTGACTCACTAATGCTTATTCTAGAATTTCAAAGTCTTATGTTTGAGTCATAAGAAAACATCAGTGCTGAAAATGCAGTGTACTGATAATACACAGGTGACCCATGATGAAGGCGTAGAGGTGACTCCACATCAATAGAAAACTTGTAATTGTTGCTGGTCTCTTTTTTTAATGGGATGTAGCTAATCAGCACAAATCATGTCATTTGTTGTTGAAACTGCCTCGCTAAAGAAAATATGGGAGTTGTACAAGGTTGTTTGTTTTGGTTTCGAGAGTCAGCCATTTTAGAATCTCCAGAATCTAAACTTTTTCATTTAAAAAGTATTAAGTCGAGTCCTTATGGTTGCAAAGTAACGGTCACATCATGAACTGAGTTTAACCAACATCGTGATCTCTGCCTCAGACATGGTCTACACTAGCAAAATTAGTCAGTTTAACAACATCAATTAGAGGTGTGAAAAATCTGCACACCCCTGAATGGCACAGTTAAGCTGACCTAAGTCCCCGTGTAGACAGTGCAAGGACGACAAAAGAATTCTTCTGTTGACGTAGCTACTGCCTCTCGGGAAGTGGATTACCTGTGCCAGTGGGAAAACTCCTCCTACTGCCATTGGCACAGGTGTCGTCTATGCTGAAATGCTGCAGTGGCGCAGCTGTGCTGCTGTAGCATTTTAAGTGCAGGCAAGCCCTCTGCCTGCAGATGGTCTGGAGCAGTATCTGTAAAAGGTGTGATGCCCCTCATTCACCGCAACAGTGTTTGTGAGGAAGGACTGTCCACTGGTTAGAGTGCTAGCCTAGGGCATGGGAGACCTGCATTCAATTTCTGCTCTGCCACAAACATCCTTTGACACCCTGGGCAAGTCACTTCATCTCTCCGGTCCTCCATTCCCCATCTGTAAAATGGGGATAACAGCCCTTCCCTGCCTCCCAGAGGCATTGCAAGGATAAATATGTTAGAGATTGGGAGGCGTTCAGATACTATGGCAGTGGGGCCATGCAAGAACCTTAGATAGGCACATAACTGAAACCTAATGATGTTAGTTCAGTGGTTCTCAAACTGTGGGTTGGGACCCCAAAGTGGTCATGACCCTGTTTTACTGGGGTCACCATAGCTGAAGCCTGAGCCCAACTGCCCGCGGTTGAAGCCTGAGGGCTTTAGCCCAGGGTGGGGGGAGCGGCGCTCAGGTTAGAGGTCCCCTGCCTGGGGCTGAAGCCCTTGGGCTTGGGCGCCAGGGCAGTGGGGCTTGGGCTTTGCTCCCCTCCCCCCACATGGGGCAGTGGGGCTCGGGCAGGCTCAGGCTTCGGTCCTCCCTCCTGGGGTCATGTAGTAATTTTTGTTATCAGAAGGGAGTCATGGTGCAATGAAGTTTGAAAACCCCTGTGTTAGTGTGTATGCCAACAGCATTAACTATTTGACAAATAGCAAAAAAAAAAAAGAGGTCAGCTGACATCACTGCATGCAAGATATAAAAGGGAACTGATTTATCACGAAGACAATCTGCAGGCAATGGTGTTTTGGCATTTCAAGTGGCTGGCAGCAGCATGGTTTGTGGGTGGAGCTAAAACTACACAATTTCCCCCCTCCCTCAATTTGGCTCCTGAGCAAACATTGTATTAGTTGCTTCAAAATGGATACAATATTACCACCAAGGCAACAAACAAAAACAATCTAGGGATCTCCAGTAGCAACACCAGGCAGTTAATTGGGAAATCAAAGCTTAAATTTTGACTCATTCAATCTTCTACTTCCTGAATCTGTAGAAGACTGAGCATTTCAAATTCATCCTGCAGCATCAGAGCTTAAGTTCAAACATTGCATTTCCAGAGCACCCCTTTGTCAGGTGGTACATATAACGTCATAGATGGTGCCAGATTTAAACTCAATCTTTCCTAGCCCTGTGCAGATTTTCCCATGGCAGAAGAACAGGTGATGTATGGTTTGGCTGGAACAGGAAGCTAAGTAACCATGACCAGGTTTTACATTGTGAGATCAAACTCTTTTCCCTTGCAAAGGACAAAACTTGCCTAAATGAAAGTTTATTCGTCTTATTCGAAAGCAGTAAAAATTTCAAAACCTGACAATTTCAACTCTCTTCTTTCATAACTTCTTTCCCATGCTACGTAATTTATAAAGACATTTCAAAATTAGCTGGTTTCATTTACGAAAGTCACAAAGGTGCACTCATAGCAGTTCATTGTTATCATGGCTTGTTCACAACAGTATGTTTTTAAAAAGTTCACAACGATCATCCAATGTGTATTATTCCTGTCATTTGTATTTATATAAAGAGAATGATAAATGGTATTTTGCGTACAATGTCTGAGATTTGACTTCTTTAAAAATATATATATACACACATATGTCCATGAATTTTGCCTCTTTTACTCTAACTTCATTGTGTCCTCTGTTAAAGATTGCCCTGGCAAAAGCGAAGCACAGTGGTACGGGGATACCATCACAAGCACCAAGCAGCCATTTGGACAACTGTTCCAAACTGCAAAATGCTGCTGCCCAATTTTTATTTATTTTGCTTTCTTGGTCCTCTGCTTACTGTCGACAAGAGTTGAAGGCCATGGTACCTTTGCTCCAGTTTTGTCCTCATTACTGACTCCTAAAAGCAACTGAATTCTAGGATTGCCTGAGATCTTTGACAATTCCTTGTACACAACAGTTTATGGGAATGATAAGCATTGGCATCCTTCCGATAACAATGGGTCAAAGGTACAAATGCATCCCTGGTGTGACTCAGTTGAATTTGGTGGAATTATACAAAGGACAAGTATCTTCTGTGAGGTTTGCTTGTAGCAAACAGGATTAAATTAACCATTCAATTAATGCTGAACAAGTTGCCAGTCAATAAGCACTTTAATTGCCTTCACACTGATTTTGGGTAACAACTGACATGAACATCTAAGTCTTACCAAAGAGATGCAACCGGACACTGCAGGACAGCCCTTTAAGGTGAAAGGAAGATAATGCAACAGCACCATCTAGAAATTCAGGGAAACTCCAACATGATTCGTGTTGATCGAGCAGAAATCCTTCATATAGTGAAAAGCTCTCCTACCATTGCATCCGGAATGCTTTTGTGGTAGTGACAACTTTACCCTGATGCTACAGGAGGCAGACAAGCTGAAACGGGGTGCGAGAGAGAAAACTATCCTTGTGTTAACATTTCATGGAGCCAAACGACTGCAGCAGGACCCAGGATGTACCTTACTCCAGTAAAGTGAGCCACTACACAACAGTTCTGCAGACGGATGGCACAGAGGAGCGTTATGTTTCTGAAGCACTGATATCCTCTGGTGGAAAGTGCTAACTATTTACTACAGTGCCTCTATGGATTGCAGGACTCCAGACACAGCTAACGAGCAATATACAATGAACCTCTCCTGATGAGTCTGCAGTTGAGCTGACTCAGAAATGAGAAACAGTTCTTTAGGAAATTCTGTGGCCTATTGATTTGGTTCCTACTTGGTGCTCAATGAGCTGTTCTGCATGCCGCGGAAACCAGAACAATTCTGTGTGTATGTATGTGACCTTGCTGGGAGCCCTGACTGTGTGCACAATGCACAGCAAAACACATTTTATGGATTACATTGTCGAGCAAGCTTTAAGTCTTAACAGGGTTGGAAAGAGATCTATATGCCTATGGTGAGTAGGAAGTATTCCCAAGCAAGTGTCTTCAACTTCTGCAGACTGTAAGCTTTAATTTTATTTTAAATGTTTGTAGATTGTAAAGCAAACATGCCAAATGTGAACCTGGTATAAACTGATTTAGGGGCATCTTCCCAAGGCTGCAAACAGGCTCAGTGCTTCTGCTGCTCCTGATCATTTCCCCAACCTGCAGCAGTCACCATAGTCTTGTCAGTTTTCACTGTCCCTATTCACAACCCTCTGACTAACCATGAACTGAGGCGAATTAGGTCAATTTCACTCTTCTGCTGCTTGAGATCCCTGAGCAGCACCAGAGGCAGGCACTGAAGCTAGTCATAGAAGAAGAAAACCTGAACAAGGAAGCTATGAGTTGAGTAGGGTAGTGGGAACATTTACAGAGAGTAGCAGAAACAGCCCACCCTCACAGCAGCCAGGCAACTGAGACCTCAGTGGGGCTTGAGGGGACTAAGAGCAGAGACAGAGAATGTTTTTGTCTCCACTGCAGAAGAAAGAAGGTTTTGGAGACCAGGAAAGAGATTCCAATTTGTCAGTCAACTAATAGGCAGAGACGGATATGAAATACAAAGTCATCAAGCGGGGTCCAGGAACAGCACCCTGGTAGGAATCACACACCATGCTCCTTTCCCAGCAACTGAGAAAGGGATGTGTGGAAAGAAAGGGCTGTTTCTCATCAGGGTGTTACCTCTGGTCAGTGACTATTCCCACTCCCACCCCCCTCTTACGCTGTTAAGTGTCTGGTAAAATTTCCAAGCTACATGTGAGAGTTGGTGTGTGTGTGGGAGGGAGATATTGTGTTGACAAATAGATTTTTAGTATAAATAGAGTCAGGAAGAAGGCAAAAAACACAATATGGCAGGGGAAAGAGAACGCTGTAAGTGATTAAAGGGAGATAAAAGGAATATAAGAGATACAACATGATCTACTGAAGGAAAGAAGAAGCAGAGTAAAGTCAGGAAGAGTAAGGCCTGGTCTACACTGGGGGGGGGGGGGATTGATCTAAGATACGCAACTTCAGCTACAAGAATAGCATAGCTGAAGTCGACGTATCCTAGGTCGACTTAGAATCACTTACTTCGCATCCTCGCAGCGCGGGATCGACGGCTGCCGCTCCCCCATCGACTCCGCTTCCGCCTCTCGCCGTGGTGGAGTTCCGGAGTTGACGGCAGAGTGATCGGGGATCGATTTATCGCATCTACACTAGATGCGATAAATTGATCCCCGATAGATCAAATGCTACCCGCCAGTCTGGCAGGTAGTGTAGACGTGGCCTTAGAAGCTATAATTAAAGCAAGAGAATCAGCAGTAAATGACTTTTTTAAAAAGTTCATTAAATAGAAAGTTGATTGACAGCTTTACCATTATATTACTCAAAATCCAATTGTACACAAACACAACCATAACTCTGCAAAGAATATGTAGGTGAAGATATTTTCAGCCCACCAGTAGGTAGGTATTGGGCAAAATTTTCAAGCTCTGTCTTTTTATCACTTTACATAGATGTATTTTCAACATTAGTTTCATAGTCTTTTTTATTGAAAAGGAAAAAAAGTGAACAGTCACAGAAGCCCAAGTCTCCAGAAAATGTATGATAGGAAATATGATGAGAATTCAGTAAGGATGTACAGTCCATGCCATCTTAGAGATTGTGACCTACGTGCTGAAGCTGATAGCGATAACCTTGGCGGGAGAAAGATCTTATAGTTGCATTGTAGCGAATGACAGCTGTGATCCTGCATCTTTGTCATATTATGGAATGAGTCATAGATACTAAGGTCAGAAGGGACCATTATGATCATCTAGTCTGACCTCCTGCACAACGCAGGCCACAGAATTTCACCCACCCACTCCTGCGAAAAACCTCTCACCTATGTCTGAGCTATTGAAGTCCTATACAACCAAATAATTTGTTCATAGAACATAGTAACACCAATGTAGAAGTTCCAGACTTCACAAGAATAGGAGGGTAGAATTTCTTATGAGCACCAGCATCGCTTGTGAAAGAGAGTCTAACACTTCACAAATATCTGTAGGGAAAGTGATCTGGGCCTATGTCACGGAGTCACCAGGCCAATGCTCTGGAACTACTCCATACAAAGCCAGTCAGGACTCTGGGGTAGCATGCCTCCTCTCGCTGAGCATACTGTCTCCAGGGCAAGAAGCTTACACAGCTTTCACCTTCCTGGGTCTGACCTCAGAGCATTCAGCATCCCCTTCCACACCATGCGCTTCCCACAGCAAATCCGCCCAGGCAGGGCTCCTGGGGAAGCCAGAGGGCCCTGCACCCCAACTCCTGCAGTCAGCAGTGACTCTCAGCCAGCAAGTAGAACAGAAGGGTTTATTAGTTGACAGGAACAGCGTAGAACAGAACTTGCTACCACAGAAATCAGTGACTTTCAGCCAAGTCCATCTTGGGGAGTCCTGGGCCAGATGCCCTGGACTCCCCCCATTCCAGTTCCCCACAGCAGACTGACAGATTCCAAAGACCCAACCTCAGACACCCCATTGCTCCTCCTTATTCTCTTTGTCTCGCTTCCTAGGGCAAAGAGTCACCTAGTTGCATCCACCTATTGGGTCTCGGGTTACAAAGGGCACCAGTCAGAGCATACTTGCAGACAGCTGGTGCAGCCTCACCTGCCCCAGAGGTCTCAGCCAAAGTCACATACCCCTATTCCCACCACTGAGGTATTTGTGCAGCACACAGGGAAACTGAGGCACACAGTATTCATGCGAAACAGTAAAACTCACATAGGTGCACATACAACATAAGGGAAAATCCCCACTTTCTCACAGCCTGATCTCCCCATGAACTTTTACAATAGCTTATGTGATAATGTACATGACATGAGCTATGTTCCATCAGTTGCTCTTGTGATGAGGAAACTCTGCAAGATGAAACTCATAGAATTCCCTCCCTTTCACTTGGATTTCCCCCACAGAAACCATGAGATGTCTCTTCATTTGTAAGTTTCAGTTTCATTCTGCATACTATGATTTTTTTCCTTCTCTTTTTCATAGGAAGCAGCTATAGCTGCAGCATGCAACCTGCAGATAACACAATGAATGTTTCAGAGCTACATTTCCCCTTCTGCACCACACAAACAAGGCTGAATAAGGTTTTTCATTTTATCTTTATCCAGTGCCAGGTACGGTACAAACACAGAGTGATAGTTCTTGCCCCCAAGAACCTGGAATCTACACAGATAAGACAGGCAATGGGTGGAAAGAGAAACATGGCTGCCTCACAAAGGCCCCTTGAGTTTTGACCAGGGTGCCCTTGCGGAGTGGTTTCCATACACAGTAGGTACGTGGGAGGCTTGTTGTGAAGTCATTGTTCCCTTTTTAGCTCAAGTCCAGGGTGTAAAGATACGAGGGCGAGCACAATTCCATATCTCCTGATAGAAGCAAAGGGAGAGTTCCCCTTCTCCTCCCTGGTTTGGGCAAGCTATGCTCCCCTCTCCTCTTTGACTGGTGCGATGAGAGTTCCCCTCACTCTGTCCCCTAAACCAGCTCTCCTCACGTCTTCTCACCATTGCCTGTGCCAGGGACTATCAAATCTCCGTAAGTTAACAATGGGGAAAGATCCGCTCAAAGAAATAATTCTCTCGGCTATGTTCCAAAGAACCAGAACTTGTTTCATTGTACACGTCCAGGTCACCAATGTTATTGATACCTGGGGAAAGATCCGCTCAAAGAAATAATTCTCTCGGCTATGTTCCAAAGAACCAGAACTTGTTTCATTGTACACGTCCAGGTCACCAATGTTATTGATACCTGCAGGAAACAGGGTGACTGAAAAATGTCAGTTATCAGCAGTGCTGTAGTTTTGTCAAGGCAAGTTTGGAGAAAAAGCTGTCCTGTTTAGTATGATGATCACCATGTCAGAGTCACAGAAACTGAGAATTTTCAAGAACTACAGGCACTGGTTTCGTAAAAAGAAAAGGAGTACTTGTGGCACCTTAGAGACTACCAGGCACTGGTTTGTACCCAAAGTGTTTCCATTCTTTGTAAAAAGAAAAGGAGTACTTGTGGCACCTTAGAGACTAACACATTTATTTGAGCATAAGCTTTTGTGAGCTTCAGCTCACTTCATCAGACGCATTCAGTGGAGTGTAACCCCCAAGGAGATTACCTAGATTCCTGGGGCTCTGTCTGCCGGCCACTCAGGGAGAGGCACGCTGTCCCTGGTAGGGAGGGGGAGCCAAGGCAGACTCAGAGTCTGCCTGGGAGTGAGATGCCCTTCCCAGGAAACTCAGGAAAGGGGAGAAGTCATTTTTTGAGACAGTCTGGAGCCAGCCAGGGCAAGGGCAAGACTGGCTGTGTGGGGAGCTGGTGAGTCCCAGGCCTGCATGCAGGGTTCCCCCTGAGAACTGGCCTCTAGGGACCTGAAAGCAAGATCCCTCAGCTGGGCTTTTCCTTCTCCACTGATGACTCCCAGTCTGTAGAGTTTTGCTGGGAAACTTCCCCAGCCAGGCTGAGTTAGCTCTCCAGCTCCCTAGGGGAGACCGGTTACCACATGGTCAGCTCCGCTCTGTCTGCTAGTCCAGGGCTGCTGCCTGCTGTAAATGAGTCTGGACACTAGGGTAGCAGACTACAGTTTGGATTTTAGTACAGTTGTGTAATCTGCACCTTGAGCCCTGCACCACTTTGTGGTGAGGGGAGATCCTGGGACCGAAGCAGCCTGATTCCTGCCTGAAGAGGATCCCTGCCAGCAGAGATGAGCCCCTCCGCAGTGACCGAGTCCAGAGTCATCTCTGAACCTGAGGATCATTCATGGAGTTTGTGAGTGCACCATCTTTTAGTCAGTCAGTCAGGGAAATTGTTTTGGGGACTCCCTACTCCCTGAACTGTGTCCTCAAGCCAGGGAGTAAGGGTTTGGGGATTTTATAACCTGCTGCATATTAAACATGTGGAGGGACTTACCACCTCCTCCCACTTGTGAGTCCTTTGGGTTGTACTGAACCCAGTCAGCCAGACTGCTCAACCACTGCAGAGACGATATCGGGGTCATAGGTCACCAAGGGCCCCAACAAAGTACGCGTACCAACGGGACACTAATTTTACATTTGCTACATCAGGTCCTGTGACTGGGGAAAGACACGGGTATTATCAGCATGGGTACCAGTGACCCTAAGAATTGTGTTTTACCCTGTTATGTTATATTTGTCTTCTGTTAAGTATATACAATGTATTCAACACAGTAATTATATTAGTGCTATTTCCTGGGGGTCTCCAACTATCAAGTAAGTGGGGGTTACCATATGGTTAGAATTTTCCTCCTAAGCTGCCCTGGTGACCAGGAAGGGGCAAGGGAGGTGGAGGCACCGCCAAATAAAATCATAGGGAAAAATAAAGAAGATACACCCTGCTGAGTGAGTGGCAGGATCCAGACCTGTCCATCAAAACCTGTAAGCAGATTGGCATTAAAGAAGGTAACTGGGTGGAGAGGGGGCACTACATTAGCACGTACCAGTCCTCCTTGTTGGCACTGTGATCATAAAGGATAGTTGACATACAAGTTGCCACACTACAGATGGATATACTCTCATGACCTGAAACACTGTGGAGGAGGGCGAGAAGCAGATCCCATATTTTTTCTTTTTCCATCATATTTGCATAATATTGTTTATGCAAGTAACGGATACCAAGGCCACTTAGTCAATGCAAAGACTTCCATTAACGTCTATGTATTTTGGAAATGGCCCATAAAGCAACCTGTTCCTGGTTCATGCAGGGCACCATCATGAACACAGCATGACCTGGAACCTATTTGCGTTCTTTTCCTTCTCTAAATTGAATGACTTCAGACACGTACTACTGGCTGTAATTAGAGACTTGTTTATATGTATTATGTAAGAGGTAAAAGGTATCAGCTAGTGCAGTTCCTTTTTATTTAGGTTTAAATTTCACAGGCATGCTATGTTTTCCCCAGTTGATGTCTTCCTTCCCCAATCACCTCCATAAAAGCATTAATTGTGGATGAACAATGAATTAATGAAGAGCCAGCATGATCCAAGGGATTGTGGCCTGGGCTACGAGCCAGGAGTTCCTGAGTTCTAATCCTGGCTCTAGCATGGATTTGCTCTGCAGCCTTGGGCAAATCACTTAATCTCTGCACCTCAGTCTCACCAGCTATAGCTGATGGATAATTACAATTACCTACCTCACAGGGCTATTGTGAGGATAAACCAACAACAGTAGATTCATAGATATTAAGGTCAGAAGGGACCATTATGATCATCTAGTCTGACCTCCTGCACAATGCAGGCCACAGAATCTCACCCACTCACTCCTGCAATAAACTTCTCACCTATGTCTGAGCTATTGAAGTCCTCAAATCGTGGTTTAAAGACTTCAAGGAGCAGAGAATTCTCCAGCAAGTGACCCGTGCCCCATGCTACAGAGGAAGGTGAAAAACCTCCAGGGCCTCTTCCAATCTGCCCTGGAGGAAAATTCCTTCCCAACCCCAAATATGGCGATCAGCTGAACCCTGAGCATAGGGCAAGATTCACCAGCCAGATACCCAGGAAAGAATTCTCTATAGTAACTCAGATCCCTCTTTGTATGTATTGTAGCACTGGGGGGAGGGCTGCGTGGGTGGGGGGGCGCATAGGTGTAAGACTACAAGTGCTATTCATTTTGGGTGCAGAACCATGATTCCAGCACTCCTGTACCTGCTAAGCCCCCTCCAAGTCAGTCCTACTCCTCCAAGCACCTCTAAAATGTCACAATATCCCTCTCTTCATACATCAAGTCTACAAACCATTTTTTTAACCTCTCAGCTCCTTCTCATCACCTCTCTACCCCACAGACTTTCTTCTCAGACCCTCATCAACCTACAACTCTCAGGGTTACCCTCACCAGTATCAGTTATCCCCACTCTCCATCTTATTTCACCTAAGTCCAATCATCCGCCTTCATTTTATTCACTCCCCATTTTGGATCTCCTCAAATCACCTGGTTTCCTTTCCAGGACCTAGCAAGCCCCTTTCACACCCGCCCCCCTGGATTAGGACTCTCCTTCCTTCCATAAACTCCTGAAAATATCCTTCTCTCCCTGGGCTTGTGGTCTTATTATGATGTATACCAGGCGTGGGCAAACTTTTTGGCCCGAGGGCCACATCTGGGAATAGAAATTGTGTGGCAGGCCATGAATGCTCACAAAATTGGGTTGGATGCTGGAAGGGGTGAGGGTTCTGGTTGGGGCCAGAAATGAGGAGTTCAGGGCGCGAGAGGGGGCTCCGGGCTTGGGGGTGTGTGTGAGGGCTCCGGCTGGGGGTATGGCTGGGGATGAGGAGTTTGGGGTGTAGGAGGGTGCTCCAGGGTGGGACAAAGGGGTTCGGAGGGTGGGAGCGGGATCAGGGCTGGGACAAGGGGTTGGGGCGCAGGGAGAGGCTCAGGAGTGCAGGCTCCAGATGGCGCTTACCTCAAGCAGCTCCCAGAAGCAGCAGTATGTCCCTTCTCTGGCTCCTACACAGAGGCATGGCCAGGTGGCTCTCCACGCTGCCCCATCTGCAGGCACCGCCGCAATAGCTCCCATTGGCGGAGGTTCCTGGCCAATGGGAGCTGCGGGGGCAGCACTTGGGGTGGGGGCAGTGTGCAGAGCAGAGCCCCTGGCTGCCCCTATGTGTAGGAGCTGGAGAGGGGCCATGCTGCTGCTTCCAGGAGCGGCCCTCAACCCTGCTCCCTGGCTGGAGTGCCAGAGCGGGGCAAGCCCCAGACCCTGCTCCCCAGAGAGTGCTTGAGGGCCAGATTAAAATAGCTGGCGGGCCAGATCCGGCCACCAGACCGTAGTTTGCCCACCCCTGATCTATATCATCAAGCAACAAAGACTACCGAGGAGCATCAGACAAACCGTCTTCTCAATGAGGCTTAGCAGACATTCATGAATGGTACAGAGACCAACTCTCCCAATGACCCAGTGGGCATTTAGAACCAGTAGGACTTGCTCTCCAGCCAGCCCAGATTTTTCTTCTCGTATCTTTGTGAAAGTGCTGCAAGTGGTCCATGGAGCAAACAAAGATCTCCTGTGTCTGGTTTTGTGCATCTTATACCTCCTCTATATAGCCACCTGGAACCTTGTGTACCTTACTGCTCCCACTACTGAGCTACATTGCTGCTAGCAACGGTGGGAGCGTTAAAAGAAAAGACAGCTAGTGCAGCACAGCCTTGAAGTGCCATAGCTGAAGTATGGTTTAGCATTCTGGCTGTGTTAGCAGTACTAGTCTCATCAGGTTATGATTCTGTGGAAAGGACAACAGAAAGATCTTTTGTCATTTAACAAAATGCTTTGCTACATAGAACGAAGGACAGTATCTATCTACTGAAACTTTGTGCAACGCCTGTCCTGTGGGCTCTGACTCACAAAGGGTTAAGAGGCACTTTCTACACTGCTCCATGATAACTCGATATACAGACCGATTCCCTGAAATGCAACAAAGCTAGCAGGAAATTTAAACGTGTTTTGTGGGAAATCTGTAGCATTCATTCATATTCAACGGTTTCCTGAAGTTTTTTCTACAAATGGCCATTTGTCTTAATGTGAAATATAACATCTCTGAAAAACAATGCATAGCAGTTTCAGGCAAGAATCTAGATAGGCAATAAATAATCTATTCCAAAAGATGAAGTTGAAAACCACACTTAACATTTCTTGCAACAGCGTTCACCGAAATAATACACCAACTCTAAAAACTAAGACATCTGGATTCTTCATGCTTGGCTTAGAAATGTGACTATCCCAAAGATAATTTTAAAGGTAACCACAGAAAGATGCTATTGTCTACTGTATCACTGCTCCTAAGATCTAATTTATTTATCACCATGTAACAGGATGAAAGGCATCCTCCCAGAAATTACTACACGTAGGCATCAGTACTCAATAAAGCAAGACGAGCAGCACATGCATAGTGAACCATTTCAACTATTCATGGCTGGACAAGTACACAAAATAGTTCTTTCACTGTGTAACCAGATGTTTGTAACAGGAGATAACAATAAACCAGCAGCAGTGCACCTGGGAAATATATGTCGTATAGAAAGGAAATTTAACTTTATTTCCTCTATTTTATTTCTATGTTACTTCAGTTTTCCACTCTCCAAAACGGTGTCCCCAATTTAAAAGTGATCGCTGGGTTTACAACCACAAAAGCATGAAGATAAATAATTTCTCTCAAGCATTTTCTAAAATGGCTCCTTTGTTTCAAATGCCTTTGTCACCAGAACTGTTTGTTATCTGAATGTTGAGCTGCTGGGTCTCGGACTGTAACAGTACTTCTCATCAATTATTGAATACACTGTGGCCTCTTTCCTCTAATACTTTTTTTTAAAAAGGTAGGAGAGGTCAAGGAAAAGGGTAGAGGTTGGTGGGGGATATAAACCTGAAGGTTACAATTATGTTGATTCCGAGCAAACTTTAGAATGAAGACTGTAATATCTCGGGGGTTCGCATGACATAAGCACCCCAAGGGGCCTGATTCTGATCTCATAGCAGTATAATTCCATTGACTCCAGTGGAGTTATTCACAATGGTGCAACGGAGATCAAATCCGGCCTCAGGTGTTTCTCTCTGCTTTCCACCATATTGGCAACTCCACTTGTATTAGGATGGTTGTCAAACCATCTGCATGACACAAACACTGCAGAGCTGCAGAGCAAGGCACCTGGATATCTGCCCAGAATTTGCTACAGCCCCCTCAGTGCTTTAGGATTTTTTGTTTGTGTGCTTAAGTCCAAGAAGCAACCTAATTTCTCTACCACATAAAATCCAACTGAAATCCCAAAGTCCAAAATGTAAAGGGACAAACTTTAACTCCAAAGATTTTAAGGACAGTTACTCAACTAAATTCCAAAAGAAAAGGAGACTTTTCACGCCAGTTCTAGAGGATTACGAATGTGTGTCACTGGGCTAGACACCCACGGTCACTATACAAATGTAGAGCATTCTGCCAAGGATAAAAATAAAACCCTCTTTTCCCCAGCACTTACCTTCGCTGGCTACTCCCTCTCCTGACAATGACCTGGGAAAGGATACGGCCGTGAGTAGCTGCCCTGGTACGAAGACAGGCTGGAACTACAGTAACCAGAGTCATCGGATAATCATAAGCTCAAAGAAATTGCTCCACGCACTATGGTTTACAGCCCTGCCACAAGCCTTCAGCGATCACCGCAGCATCCCCCGTTCCCGGCCCACGGAGCAGGCAGGGAAGCCGCTGCCCATCTGGCTGCGATGCGGATGGCACCGGGGGGCTGCCGGGCGAGACCCCCCCCCCGCACCCCAGGAGCTCGCGCCTCTCCAGGATCCGATACACCGTCGCTAGGCGACCTGCACGGGGCTTGCTGCTGCTGAGCCCAGCCCCAGCCGCTGAGAGCAAAGAGCGGGAGGCGGCTGCTACCGGGCTACAGGATACACAATGCACCACGCCCGGGAGGCTGCACAACCATAAGCGGGGAGACATGCAAAATGCGCGGGGGTGAGGGAGGGGGTACACACTGTTGCTGGGTCTGTCTGGCAGGGCACCCTGCTGCCAGGCTCCGTCCAGGGCAGCGCGGCCGCGTGCAGGGGGAGGGGGGATCTGCAAGGCGCCCGTGCGGCTCCCTCACCTCTCTCCTGCCCGCGGCGGGTGCTAGGGTCCCATAGCGCCGCGGAGCCGCCGCCTCCGCCGCTCGCCAGCCTCCCCCCACTCGGCAGCTGCCGCAATGAGCCGCGGGTTCGGCTGCCCCGGGAAGAGGCTGCACCGAGGCGCTGCCGGAATGTGGGTCAGCAGCAGCCTGGGCGCGGGGCGGGGCGGGCGCAGGAGCCGCGGGCGGGGAACGGGGTGCGGCTGCCACCTACTGGCGAGGGCGGAGGCGGCGGGGCTGAGAAAGGGGGTCAAGCGCCTGCGGCTCCTGCGTGCCCTGGGGCAGGCGGGGCATTGCCCGAGGCCCCTGCGTGAGCTGGGGAACGCCTGCCATAGCACCTCCCCCCCCAGCAGAAAAGATAGAAACTGACATGCCTTGAGGGAGAGGTTTTCCCTGGCTGACATTAGCCCTTATCCCCAGCGCTCTACAGACATTAAGGGATCAGGGCTGCAAGGTGAGACCGTTCTGGCCCTCATCCACCAAATCATTTAAGCACCTGCCTAACACTGAAATGAATGGGCCTGCTTGAAGTTAATCATGTGCTCAGCACCTTAAAAGATTGAGGCCTGAGCGAGGGTCTGATTTTATGGGCACGGTTTTGCACTGGGGATAAACTGCATTCACTGTTCTGTGCCCACTGTCAGTCCATGCTTTTTTCCCTGGCAATGTGTTGCCTACACACTTTATTGTAGGCATTGAACTGCAAGCTCAGCAAAAGTATGATAAAAATGCTACATCCAAAAATAATTCTTTGAGTAGTGGACTACAGCAGTCTTAATTGCATTAGTCATACTTACTGCATGCAGGCACTAGAAATGTGCTGGTGTACTTTGTACTGTATATGACTTTTTGGTTCCCTTTTCCCTGGGCTCCTACTGAGTGGCATTTACACTTAGCCAAGTGTAAGGGGACTGTTGCTCCCTTACTAACATTCAGTGGGGGTGTTTTGGTTAGCTAGCTCCCAGCACTAAAAGAGGAAGGGTCTATGGGAAACCAGGACCCTGAGGTTGGTAGTCCCCAGGAACAATGGGGAGAGGCCAATGCTCCAGGTCAGCCTGAATGACAGGGCGGGCAAGCTAATCAGAGAGTCAGAAGGCCCCGTCCTCCATGTGAGCTGGAATTGGCTGGGTCAGACAGAGTGGGGTTAAGCTACAGAGAAAGGAGGGGCGCAAGCTGAGCTGGGAAGCAGAGCTGTGCCCGATCCAGAGAGAGCAGACCCTGTCCTGGGAGCAGAGCTGCAGCCCCAAAGCCAGAGGCACAGCCCAGAGAGAGCAGACTGGCCCTGGGAGGAGAGCTGCAGCAACCAGAGCCAGAGGGGCCAGAAAAGCAGCGCAGGAAGCAGGTCAGTGCTGGGAGCAGAGTCACAGAAGCAGCCTGCAGAGCAGATTTGTCCTGGGAGCAGAGCTGTAGCAACCAGAGGCAGAGAGGCCAGAGAAGTAGCCCAGGGAGCTGGAGGCAGAGCAGCAGCAGTGCTGAGACAGAGTGGTGGAGCTGGGGCTGGAGCAGTCCGGAGCTGGGTGCGGTGAGAGCGAGGGGGACCCTGGGCAGTGGGCCCAGCACAGGGAGACGCCTCACCCAAGAGGCTCTGCAGGCCAGGCTTGGATCGTAACCCCGACAGGGCGGGGGTGACTCTGGGAAGAAGGGTCCTGTCACTTACAGCCTGAGACCACCACTAGAGCAAGTGTCCAACCCACAGCATCCCTGCAGCACAGCCAGGGCCTGAGAGGAAGGCCTGGGACTTTCAAGGAACAGACGGTGAACTGGCCTGACATTCCAGAGACACTGTTTGTGATGTTCCCTGCCACAGAGCGGGTTGATGTGTTTCCTTTAACCTTTCCATTTTTCCTTATTCTTTTTAAAATTGTTGATTAACTAACTTGCATTTGCTTTAAATTGTATGTAATGGTCAGTGGGTCAGAGAAGTGCCCAGTGCAGAGAGAGTACCCCGGAGTGGGGACACCCTAGCCCCTGTTCTAGGTGACCACAGCAGGGTTGGAATCCTGGCCCCTGCCTTGTTGGGGTTACGAGGACTCTGCCAGACAGGAGAGTGGAAGGGGAGTGCTCAAGGGCAGGGAGGCCACTGGGTAAAGGAAGTGGGAGCGAGGACTCAGATCCTTTCGCTAGCCCACTTCACCGGGGTAGTGCAGAAGCCAGGAAAGTTCCCCACAATAGCGGGACTATTCTCCCGCTTACACAAGGCAACCCTCTAACAGGTATCCCCACGTGCCCTTCTCAGGAAGGGGCAGAAGGTTCTCTGCTCTTCAAGGACCTAGCACAGGGACTGAACCTTAAAAACAATCGAAGGTCACAGTTCTGCATTCTGATCTATGCAGGCATTCTGCTGTTCCCAGGCAGAGCCCCATTGATTTAAATGGGGCTTCACGTGGGTGCAGCAGTCTGCTCAGTTAGGATCGATTTGTTCTAAACAGAAATGAGGATAGAGGAAAAAGAGGATTAAAGCAAAAGAAATGGGCTGCATAGCATATCTAGTCCTTCAGCTGGCAAAAAATAAACTGATGTTGGTACAATTCAAGTCATTACAGCATTTATAAAGACCAAATAACTTCTAGCTAGCCTGTCCCTTTCTTCTATGTCCCCTTTATTGGCTAACCTGCCAGTGAGATGCCCCTGCCCACTAGCTAAACTGTCATCTGCTGCTTTCCCCTGTCTCCCACCACCATGCATATCAGGTGTCTTGGATCCCTCCCCCTCACCACACCCCTATGGTAGCCTGTGATCCTTTTGATCTTCAAAGTGTCAACCTGTTCAACATAAACCCAGGCATTCAAGCAAAGATATTTACATAGGTGTCCCCTTTAAGGGAAGATGACAATTGTTTCTTTCATGAAATGTCCACAGAATGCTTTAAAGTCTCTCACTATTATTATAATTGCCATTGGGTAAACAGATCTAGATTCCAGCTTTTCCTCCAGTTAGATAGATTTCTCCAGCTATTTCTCTGAAGCTGTATGCATGCAGACTTTCAGCCCACATTGGTATCCATCCACTGTCCATTTGCTTGTCTGGTGTTGGAGGAAGTCCCTGGGGAGGCTAATTAACCTCTTTTCAAATGTTTCCCATCCCTGACCAAAGATGTGACCTCGAAAATAGCTCACTGCCTGCCTGTTAAAGAGGCAAGGCTTATATTTCTTTTAATTCCATTTTTACCAGTTATTTTTTCTCTATATCAAATATTACATCCACAAATCTTTGCTAAAAATGTTGAGGTTGCAAAATCAGGCACTCAGTAGTTAGGAAATGCCAGAATTAAGGCTGCATGTGCAACTTTAATTCAGCTCCCTTGTGTGTATATATTATGACACAATCACATATTGTGTTTTTTCCACAGAAGTGCTCTCAGTTCTGATACCTCATCCCCAGCAGCTGGGAGAAGCAATTGCAGGGAAAGCCCTGTTCAGCCTTGTGCAGGCCTAGGCTGTATTCTGGAGAATAATCAGTACAGATGAACACTTTGAGGAATTTAGCTGCCAAACTCTAACAAATCTTTACTGACCATGTACAAACTGGGATATTTCAGAAGCCTATAACTTGGTCATATTTGAATGAGTCCTCATAGAGAGAGCAACAAGCACATCCCTGACACCAGAGCAACACTCCCAACCCCTTCCTGAAATGTCAAGCCCTTGTTCTAAAGCATGGATGTGATAGAGCTTCTTACGAAAATGATTGTAAGGTTTTTGAGTGTTTTTTTTTTTTTTTTAACATGGGCAAAACAGTGTAGTGTTACCCCTCAGTGGCTAACCAAAAATTTGGGGGGGTTGTAGGTGTTCCAGTTGGGAATAGAAATTTACAGTGGAGTCTTGTGTTTTCTTTGATGCAACCTTGTTTTTTATAAGCAACATACAGTCCTTTTTCTGTGAACACACAGGGAATCAAGTAGCAGGATACAAACAGTTCCCTTGTTTGTGGTTCCAAGCCTGCCTTTCCAGGCAACAATCTGTACCGGGAAAGCATTTTCTGTTAGCTTTATCTCATGGCTACATCATTATGCTTCCATGCTGTATCTGCTTAGCTTTTTCACTCTGCTGTTTTGCTTCTGTCTGCCTCTGCTTGTGTATTCTGTCTCTGTCCCACCCAGACACATTCACATACGCAAAGATTGTGGTGCTCTCTCCTCAAAGTCCGAATTATTGGATGGTCTTGCACTTGCCCTTGTTTTGGGTGGGGCTTTTTAGCTATTTTTCATCTAGTGGAGGTCAAAATAGTTTAGAAGAGGTTTAAACCAATCAATTTAACAGTATTTTTCCCTAATGTTATTCTCAGGTACATTCCTTTTTTTAACTGAAATTAAAACAAAAAACCTTAGCCTGAGGCAGACGCCTGGCATGGAGAATTTCAGTTCAAATGGTTTAAGTTTGGCAAAGTGATAAGCAACTGAAAACAGATTCGTACCATGGGAAGTGTTGGCCACCTTAAAAATAGATGGTGCTTCCAGGCCCTCCTATAATGAATCATTCACAGATTAAAATCAATAGGCCTGATCAGGGCCGTCCTTACCCATACTCAAAGTACGCAGCTGCGTAGGGCACCAGGAAATTTGGGGCACCACCCTGCACAGCTGTGTGCTGCCCCAGCCCCACCTCCACTCCCCTGAGCTCTGCAGCAGGGCGGGGGCTGCACTCATCATCAGTGGGAAGTGCAGCGACCCTGCCCCAGCCGTGCCACCGGTGAGTGCTGGGGGGGTGGTTCCCCCCTGTCGCCAAGCCAACCCCCCTCTCCCCCGTGGAGGCCTGGGGCCAATCCCCTTGGCCCCCCCTGCAG